GTTCCATGTGTCCCCTCAGTGGCACAATAGTGCCAGCGTGCCATGTGACCTCTCAGTGTCACAATGGTCCCACAGTTCCAAGAGGCCCTCAGGTGTCACAATGTCTCACCGTTCCATGTGTACCCTGAATATCACAATGGCCCCATGATTACATGTGTCTCCTCAGCATCACAATGTCCGCAGTTCCACGTGTCCCATTAGTGTTACAATGGCCCAGGGTCCCATGTGTCCCTTCAGTTTCACCATGGTCCCACGGTTCCATGTGTCCCTTCCTGTCACAATGGCCTCAGGGTTCCATTTGTCTCCTCAGTATGACACTGGCCTCAGGAGTCCATGTTTCTCCTCAGTGACACAATGGCCCCAGGCTTTCATGTGCCCACCAGTGTCACAATGGCCCCACAGTTCCAAGTGTCCCCTCAGTGTCACCATGGACACATGGTTCCAAAAGCCCCTGCCGTGTTACAATTGCTCGATGGTTCCATGTGTCCCCTCATGTCACAATGGCCTCAGGGTTCCACATTTCCCCTCAGTGACACAATGGCCCCAGGCTTTCATGTGTTCCCTCAGTGTCACAATATCCGCACAGTTTCATGTGTCCCCTGAGTGTCACTTTGGGCCCAGGGTTCCATGTGTGCCCTTAATGTCACAATAGCCCCACAATTCCATGTGTCTCCTGAGTGTCACAATGGCCCCACAGTTTCATGTATCCTCTTAGTGTCAGAATGGCCCATTGTTCCATTTGTCCCCTCAGTGTCACAATGACCCCACAGTTTCATGTGTCCCCTCAGTGTCACCATGGTCCCATAGCTCCAAGAGACCCTGCCATTTCACAATGGCCCAACAGTTCCATGTTTCCCCTCACGTCACAATGGCCTCAGGTTTCCATGTGTCACAATGGCATCATGGTTTCATGTTTCCCCTCAGTAACACAATGGCCCCAGGCTTTCATGTGTCCCCTCAGTGACACAACGTCCCCGGGTTCCATGTGTCCCTTCAGTGTTACAATGGCCCCACGCTTCCACAGGAGGCCCTGCAGTGGCACAGTGGCCCCAG